AAAAATATCATTGTGGGTACAGTTTATCGGCCACCTAACCAAATCCTCGATTCGTTTATGCATGAATTTAATAAAATTCTTTCAACCATTTCTAAAGATAATAAACAGTGTTATCTCATGGGTGACTTTAACCTTGATCTACTTCGTTATGATCAGCATTCAGCTACCCAGGAATTTGTGGATTCTTTGTTTTCTCATATGTTTATTCCTCTTATTACGCGACTGACGCGCATAACTTCACACACTGCTACATTAATTGACAACATATTTACAAATTCATTTGCAAATTTACAAAACACTCAGAGCGGGATTATTCTCAATGACATTTCCGATCATCTACCCGTTTTTGCATTTTGTAATAATGTGTCTCTTCCTTGTAAAAAAAGTGATAAGAGCTTATATAAGCGAGACTTTGGAGAAGAAAATCTTACTAATTTCCATACTAGTTTGTCACAGGTGGACTGGTCAAATGTTGTGGTAGGACAGGACCCTAACATTCAATTTAATGCTTTTGCATCAGAATACAACACACACTTTGAAGAATGTTTTCCTCTTAGAAAAATTAAACTAAATCGTTCAAATAAGTCAATGACCCCTTGGATTTCGAAAGGTTTATTAGTTTCCATTAAGAAGAAGAATGGACTTTACAAAAAACTAATTAAAAATACAACTCCCGCTCGTGAATCACAATACAAAACTTATAAAAACAAATTAAACCATTTAATTAGAATTGCCAAGCGTTCTTACTATGACAATAAATTCGAACAAGCGAAAGATAATTTAAAGGAAACCTGGAGGCTAATTAATGAAGTCATTAATAAAGATAAGAAAATACATTCCCCGCCATCCTCTTTCAAATCTGGCGGCAAAATAATTTCTGACCCTTTAGAAATTGCGAATGGATTTTGCAAATACTTTACAAATGTTGGACCAAATCTTGCAAGTAAAATCCCGACAGTAAATGTTTCTTTTCAAAATTTTCTTGGACCTCATGTCAAAGAAACAATATTTTTGAGACCAATCACTTTTCTTGAACTGTATAAAATCTGCATGTCTCTCAAAGTTGGGAAGGCACCTGGTGCTGATGGCATCCCAATGCAGCTTATTAAAGGCTCTTTTCAATTTATTTCTGAACCATTAATGCGTATAATTAACCTCTCTCTTGAGAATGGTATTTTCCCCGACAAATTAAAAACGGCTAAAGTTATCCCTATTTATAAAGCCGATGACCCAGAACTTTTTAATAATTACAGACCTATTTCAATTCTATCAAACTTTTCGAAGATCTTTGAAAGGGTAATGTACAATCGACTAATTGAATTTATTGAAAAGTTCGAAATATTGTATTGCTATCAATTTGGTTTTCGTAAAAATAATTCAACTAATTTTGCTTTAATTCATTTGACTAACAAGATTGCAACTGCTATTGATCAAAATAAAATTACAGCCGGTGTTTTTGTAGATCTGTCTAAAGCATTTGACACATTAAATCACCAAATATTGTTTTCTAAGCTTGAACGTTATGGCATTCGTGGTGTGGCGTTACAGTGGATTAAAAGCTATTTAGAAAACCGTGAACAATTTGTACAGCATGATGTTTCCTCTTCCAAACAGATTATTCAATGTGGCGTTCCTCAAGGTTCCATATTAGGACCACTCTTTTTCATTCTATATATTAATGACCTTCCGAATGCCTTGCGATTAGCGGAACCATTATTATTTGCAGATGATACAAGTATTTACTACTCACGTTCTGATCCACTTGTGTTAGCTACTGTCTTAAATCAAGAATTGAGTAGTATTAGCTTGTGGATGAAGGCGAATAAATTGTCAGTTAATACCAAGAAAACAAACTACGTTATTTTTAAACCAAAACAAAAGAAATTAAAAACTATTATGATACCGCTCATGTTTAATGAAAATAAGCTTACGCAAAAACGAGTGGTCAAGTTACTTGGAGTTTTTATAGATGAAAATCTTTCATGGAAATTTCATATTGATCACATCTGCAAAAAAGTCTCAAAATCCACCGGCATAATCTATAGATCACGTTTTCCATTGTCTATGAAAACTAAATTATCCCTATATTATACCTTGATCTACCCATATCTGACCTACTGCAACGTCATATGGTCTTCTACCTATGTCACAAATGTAAAAAGATTATTTTTAATCCAAAAACGACTTGTTAGAGCTTTGACAAACGCTGACTTTACAGCACATACTGCACCACTGTTTTATCGGCTGAATCTGCTTGATATTTATAAAATTAATTTCTTATACATTGTTAAATTCATGTATTGCTATCATTATAATTTACTTCCATCTTCATTTCATAATATTTTCATTACTAGTCGTCACATGCACTCTTACAACACTAGAAATGCAAATGCATATCGACCTCATACATGTCGTACAAACATAAAGAAGTTTACTATTTTGTTCCAAGAACCCCAAAAATGGAATTCCCTTCCGGAAAACATTAAAAATTCAGAGACTTTAAGTTGCTTCAGGAATAGAATGTTAAAATATCTAATATAGCCATCATTTATATTATGAAACTGGTAAAATAATTTCATATGCTCTAAACGTCTGATTCCCCTTTGTGTTTATATATGTTGTGCTCATTTAAAAGGGAGCCTAAACTCCTATAAGCCTTGTGGTTTCGTCTTAGGCTTCCTTGTCACCAACATGATGACTGAACAGAATTTATTTATCGAAATATACTTATTTATATAACTTATCTATCTTATTTAAATATCTAACTATTATATAACAGTTCTATAATATTTATATATACAGTATATGCATGTAATTTACAATCCTTTTATTTTTATTTTTTTTTGTAATGTTGGTGTCAAATCAAATTAAATTCATTCATTCAATATTTCACAAGAAATAGCTATGGGGTGGAAGACGGTAAACCTTCTATATGCGAAGAAAAGTTCAGCCTCACATCAACAGAGTATGCCCAGGAAGATCTATTAACGTGCAACGATTCAATCATCAATATAAAATACAGTGATGAATACAAAGTTCGGACTGACTTTTCAATACTCTATAAAAACAAGGTGTACAATTATACTGAGTATCGAGTTCTGAATGACAGCATAAAGATTTGTAACTCCACCGATAACTACGTACGGAATATTTGGAAACTACGTAATGAATGGGTAAAGGCGACAATGTATGGAAAAAATTGCAATAAATCCAAATTCATTTTGTTTTCCGGAGAGAATTACGCTGTGAATGAGCAGTTCACTGTGTATTTGGGAAGTCGTGGTCAGTATGTCACAAGGAATGACTATGGGGTGATAGACCGTTACGGTAAACCTTATACATGCGATGAAAAGTTCAGAACCGAATCAACAGAGTATACCAAGGAAGATCTGTTAATGTGCAACGATTCAATCATCAATATAAAATACGATGATGAATACAAAGTTCGGAATGACTTTTCAATACTCTATAAGAACAAGGTGTACGATTATACTGAGTATCGAGTTCTGAATAATAGCGTAAAGATTTGCAACTCCACCGATAACTACGTACGGAATATTTGGAAACTACGTAATGAATGGGTAAAGGCGACAATAGATGGAAAAAGTTGCAATAAACCCATTACATACATTAAGTTCGAGCGATGGGAATACACTGTGCTTCAGAATTTTGGAATTCTGATTTCGGCAACAAAGAAGCTGATAACAAAGTACGATTATGGTGTATATGAAGGTAAACTTATAACATGTGTGACCGAATGCGCCAATTTTACCTTCACTATAAACTATGAAGATGAATACATAGTATGGAACAACTTCTCAATGATGTACCAAGGTCGAATGTACTCTTATGATGAGTACAGAATAACGGACGATGGTCTACAAGTTTGTAATTCATCTGACCGTCTCATTAAAGAAAAATGGCGGAATATTATTGTTTCAGAAAAGATAACGTTTGCTTTCAAACAATGTGATGCATCTGTGGACGGTTTTTACTCCGAAAATTACACATTACATACAAACTTTACTGTTTTCTTCAAACCTACCAATCAAAATTTCACAAGACAAGATTACGGAGTGATTTGGGGGGTATTTTGCAATTTGTTCAGCAAAGCTCATATTGTCCTGCAATGATGATTTGGTCAAAGTAAAGTACGGTGAACCATACAATGTTTTTAAAAACCTTTCGCTTGTTTACCGGAAGATGTACGATTATCGCGAATATCGATTAAATCACGACAGTCTTGAAATGTGTGGTTCCAATGATTCAAGAGTCCAAGCGATTTGGAGAACGCGAAATTCGTGGCAAAAGTCATTACCCGCATCCTGTTATCGTTCTTATAAATTAAATGCAAGATACTACACTGTCACTAAGCAGTTTGTTGTGTATTCGGCAGATAACGGTCAATATTTCAAAAGAAATGACTATGCAGTGATAGACGGTAAACCTTATGTATGTGGCAAAGAAAACTTAAGACCAATTTACGTGATTACAAACTTTAAGATTATTATAGCACCATTGTGTGCTTTAGCGCTTTCTATTATTTCTTTGCTATTGTTGTTGATAGTTTACTGCATGCTTCCAGAACTGTGCACACTTCCTGGTTTGAATTTAATGAGTTTTAGCTTTGCCTTGCTGTTGTGGCAGACTTACCTTGTAGTATTTTTGTCACTGTATTCTCATGTAGGTAAACTGTTTGAGATATGGTGTGCTAGGCTGTTTGTGGCAAATAAGTTTATGACGTATAGCATAATTATGAATGCTGCAGTTAATATCTATCACTTAAGGCGAACATTTTGTGGGAATACGCTAGTGAAATCTGATGAACTGAAGAAGTGGAACAGGTTTTTGAAGTATAGTTTCTTTAGTTGGGGAGTTCCCATCATTATAACAATTGTTTACACTGTACTAGTAAAGGAAGATGTTCTAAGGTTTTATGAACCTATTGCGTCGGTGAAGAACGATGTTCAGTCTGGCTTAAAGTTTTATCAACGCATTGTATCTGTGAATGGAGATGCAACAGCAAATAATATAGGGATTTATCATCATATTGCGTCCTTGAAGGAAGATGTCCTTCGGTCAAAGTGGAGGTTAAATCAAAGCACTGACACTGCACTTGAAGATGCCCAGTCGAGGTTCAATCAAAGCACTGTACTTGGGAAGGAAGATGCGACGGAAGATGATGCAAGGATTTATCAACCTATTGTATCTTTGAAGAAAGATGTTCAGTCAAGTTTAAAGTTTTATGAACGCATTGTATTCGCGAATGGAGATGGGAAGGAAGATGATGCAAGGATTTATCAACAGATCTCAGGAGATTGTATCAATGGTCGAATTACTCCCGATTGGTCAGCTGATGTCGATATATATGGCCTTCAAGGTTGTCTTTTGTTGTACATTATTGGAATGTTCATCCTCACTGCTTATCGAATTCGCCAAAAACTCAAGGCAAGCAGGAACATTGCACAGAAATCGAATATTGTTAAGCGTCATAAATTTGTCATATTGCTCAAGCTGTCAACCACTACAGCCTTAACTTATTGGTTTCCTCTCTTCATATCTAGAATCGTGGATTTTGATTTCGACATAAAGATAGCGTTGTATACTGTAACGTTGCTTACTGGTGCCTACATTGGTATTGCGTTTGTCTTCACACAAAGAAATTATCAGTTGCTGAAGAAAAAATATTTCCCAGCAAAGAATAAGCCGCCAGTTAACGAAATTCCGCTGAATAGACTATAGTGGAAGTAAGTCGGCTGTATATAAGTGTAAATATTAGTAAAGTAAGAAGGCAAGCAAGCAAGTGTCAGAATGTGTCAATGTATTGATTTTAATCAAAATTAAAAAAATTAAATTTAAAAATTTAATTTTAATTTAATTTAAATTTTTCTTAATTAAAATTATGTTTATTTTAGTTTAGTTCATGAACCAAATCAATATATTGGTGTAGTGAAGGATGGACAGGAAGGACCTTTACCACAATTAATATATATAACAGTGCATGATATAGTATACAAATAATGAATGTTTATGACTGCAATGGTAAGAATATTTTCATGAGGTGAAAGATGAATGTTCCATTCGACGAGGCGACAGCCGAGTTGAATGGAACATTCCATCTTTCACCGAATGAAAATATTCTTACCATTGCACGAATAAAAACATTCATTATTTGTTTTATATAATGCCAAAATAGACAAATATTAAAAGGTTTACTGTAAGCTGCCGCCATTTTGACGAGTCGTATTTGCATTAAATCCCATTTACTGAGTTTCGAATATCGGGTTAAAATAAACAGCGAGCACGGTACGAGAAGCATTTTGACGGATGCGATTTATCGAAAACACAAAGAGTGCAATGGAATAAAACCTATAGTACAATTGTATTCTTGCGAGTGCAATGGAACGTATTCCATTGCACTCTTGGGAAATAGAATTTTCTATTCAATATCACGTGACCATAAACAGCCAATTAAACGATCAGAATTCAATAGGGTATTATATAAACCGTGTTAGAGAACACATGTTAGAGAGTTCAATTTACGCTCTTGAAGAGGTAACATCAACGACGAAGTCAGATCAAGATAGAAATATTAAGTGTGATAAAAAATCTATATAACCAATCAAAGTTTGTATAACTATAACAAATAAAGTTTTGGAGCACACATTGTGTATGTATTGGCAATCGTAACTGGCAAAAAGTAACCTGTATGGCACTAGGTATTAACATTTGGCGACCCCGGCAGGATTGCGAATGAAGGGAACTTTGTTGCTGATTTTGGTTGTGGTTCTTGAAAGTAACGCACAGAAGAGTTCCAGCGAAGGGTAGAAGACTGAAGTTTTCCGATAAAAAAGGGAGTAAAGATTAGCACGATAAAATAAAAAAAATTGCCGATGGGCCTCAAAACCAAATGTACATTAAACTGCTCCTTAAAAAAACATACTTTATATTGGGAGATAATTCGTTCATCTCAAAATTCGTAATAGTAGGAATTCTTGGACATTTCCATCCGAATCTGAGACAGTTCCGAATGCCTTCTCAATAATATAATAGATTAACAATTTTTGGTTAGCAGAAAAATTATTTTAATTAATTAAGCGTTTAATTAAAGACCATATAAAGTCCGTTCTGCGCATACGTTCTGCGCAGGCTTACATTCCAATGGTCGGGACCCGACCGTTGGAATGTTATTAATATTTCGTATCTTTTGAACTTTCTTGAATTGAATCTCTAGTCTGTATTCATTTACAAGCATAGCGAACCAGAAGAGTGTTAAAAATTCAGTACACGTATAATATATATCTAATCATATTTTACAACTGTAGCACTGAGTTCAAAATGTAAACAAAGCGTTTGTTTACATTACGGACTTAACATGGCCTTTAAACGAAGATAAATTATAGCATGTATTTATCTCGGTGGGCAGACCATAGTTAATAGAGGAGATGGTTTGGAAACTCATTAGCATTACAATAAACCTCACTATGTAGGTTTTTGTTCAGGTTTATATGCAAAAATGTGGTCTTTCATCGTCACGTGCGTATTGTATTTTTGCTCAACCAGCAAAATTGTCCTATTGCCCATCCAGGACTTTAACAATAGGACATTTTGAACATTCCTATTGGTTGACTTGAGAAAAATACAATACGCACGTGACGATGAAAGATCACATTTTTGCATAAACCTGAACAACATAGATAATGAGGTTTAATGTCATTTTATTGTAATGCTAACGAGTTTCCAAACCATCTCCTCTATTAACTATGGGCAGACTGACTACGAGTCTCAAATTCAGAGGGCATGCTCCCCCAGAAAACATTTGCGGGTCTGAGGGCATGCTACCCAGAAAACCTTAGCGCTTCCGAAGCCTCGGAAGAACATTTCCGTGTTTCCTGAGAGGAATGTTTATCAAAGTTGTGAATTTCTTGCATTTAACAATTCAAGATTTTGTAATACACTATTATTGCACTTTATAACTTTTTGACTTCTCATAAAGTACCTATTTTTTTCCCTACTATATAAGTTAAAGAACCACTTCAGCCTGGCATAAAAAGGTGGTTCTTTCATGCGGGTTTTTCCTACATTATTTTTTCACCGAAACATTTTGAAAGATATGCTTTTGCTATTGATTCTAAGCGTGGTGGCTCTAAGCGCTCGAATCCATCAAGTTTTGGTGTTAAATCAACGACTTCGGGACAGCGTTGTGCAAACCAACAAACACAAATTAAATAATCTTCAAGTTTTTCCTTTTTGAACAGCTCTCTGTTTTCAGAGGCATTTGCCAAATGACAAAGGCAGAACAAACCAATTTTTTCCACCGGGGAAAAATTATACGGACCAATTCCACGGTTGTTGGAAATTTCCGCATCGCAAGTTTTTTCACCGGGTTTGGTTCCGATTTCCGAGCGGGGATCCACAGAGACGTGGGGACGAGTTTTAAGTCGCTCATTCGCAGTCCCAAAAGACCCACTCGGTCCTGCCAAAGCTAGCTGGAGAAATGGAATTAAGCTTATCCACACATAACTATGTTCTGCTTCAAGACGGCCAATTTCGGAAGGAGTGACTATATGCAGGAAAGCTTCTAAGATTTGGTTGATTTGCTGCATTTCGTCGTAAGGAAGCAGGTTTTCTTCGGGCAAAGTTTGAATGTTGGCCAAAAATAGACTGAGAAAGTATCTAGAAAGGATAGTTTAGTTTATTGCTAGAGAAATTCTGGGGAAAGCAGTCCGTTGATTGAGCAAAAATCTGTTTAGCATATTTTTATCATTTAAAAGCAAAGAGAAATCAAATTTAGCAAGTATTCTGAAGTATATACGATTCTCAAAGTGTAAAGTGCGGAAGTGGAAGCATGTAAAATCAGAACTTTTCCCTCACCCCCCTTAAGCAATCAAGTTTTTGTGGGCCATGTGGCCAGCTCTTACCAGGGTCTTTCCATCTTTCCTTCCCAAGAAGAAAGAGCCTTGGAACGATATAATATCTGATTCTCACGCTGCATTGCAAAATCATGAATTTGTGTGAAATTATAGACAATCCAAAAGACAAAAAGTGTCTTTTGGATTGTCTATGGTGAAATATCGTTCACTATACGTTCACCCTTAATGTGTTTTTTTATTGGAGTTTTATTATTAGATGATTCAAGCTATAGACTAAATTGTGCGAAGAACACAATCCATCACCACAGCTAGAAAGAGCATGTTAAAATTAGTAAAATTGCAAAGTTTGGACGCGAAATATTATGAAATGCGGAAATATAGCCCTGGGAAATTTGCAAATTTTGTATTAATTTGTATTACGCGCGGGGAAATGCACCACATTTGGACCCAAATGTGAGTACAAATGTGAGTAAATTTGTAGTACTTCGCCCCTACACCTGCGAAATAAATGACCTACCCTTGGTCACATTTCGCTTGACAGCGGAAGAGTGTATTACCATGCTATACTCACGCCACACCAGGTGTAAAAGACAACGCAGAACGATCCTCTCGAGCTAATTCCAACTCTTGGGCTTTTTCAAGTACCAAACAATGACGTTGATTTTCAATGATCTTTCTAGCAGCCTTGGGATGATTTGAGCAACAAAATAATACATTTGCTGCAACCTCTTTCTGAAAGTCGTCTGGAGCATTGCATGTAAGCCAAAAGAGTTTTGTTAAAACTTCATGGTTCTCGGCTAAAACTTGTGGTATGCCCGGCATTTCGGCACATCTAATATGAAAAAAGAATTATTTCAGCGACTCTCTCCATTTAATGTTAGTTAGTTAATTTGGTAATAGACAATTCCAGCTATCGACTAATTTTTTATCTATAGACAAGACAGACGATATATTTCATTATAGCTCAAAAGAAGCATCCTTTTAATTAGCGAAAATTGCAAAGTTTGGTTGCGAAATATTGTAAAATACGGAAAATATAGCCCTGTGAAATTAGCGAATTTTCAGTAATTTAGTATTAAGCGCGGTAAAAATAACTATTTTTGAGCCGAGAGTGGTTATTTTTACCGCGCGTAATACTAAATTACTGAAAATTCGCTAATTAGGAAATAGGCCGGATTAAAACAATATTATGGACAGAGAAATAATTCATCCAATCATGCACTCAGGTGGACTTCCCCACAAACCGAGTTTGTATGAACATGCAGGCCCTTATTTGGATGGTTCAAGGATGTCAAAACTTATGGTAACCAGTATGCAGAAGTGGAATACTGGATTCTCATGGGGATACTAGAAATTTGAATCCTGGTATACTAGTGTGACCATGGATAATAAAATATATGGATAGGAAACTAGCTGACGTGACCTAATGTTTTCAATGGGATGATGGCATTGAAACCTAGTTGCAAACCAAATTCTCAAAAACGGCATGTTTAGCAATAATACAGCTAAACATTTTAAGAGCAAATAAATATAACTAGGCCATTCTACAATGAAATATGCTGAGAACTTTGGCAACTAGGTTTAGACTGTGACATCAGGAAGTTTCCTATCCAGTTATTTTACAATCCATGGTGCGACACTGAAAAAATGTTAAATTTCATACCCTGCTAAACACCCTGAAGAAGCATGAACGACATCACATGTCCAATCGTCATCATCATCAACGTCAGGCGTATTTTTGAGAAGTGAGTGAATGAAAGGCTCTAGACCAATCTTTTTTAAAACCAAAGAACGATCTTCTTCAATTTCAGAAAAAACCCACAGACAAGAGAGACAACACATTTCCAGTTCCGTTTGCTTATTATTAAAGTAACTCGCCACATGTTCACTAAAGTAACGAAAAGATACAGGTTTTCTTGGTGGATAAAAATTAAATGCAAATACTTTATATACAATAAGTTCTTTGTAGGTTTGCATGGCAATAGAACATATAAATATATAATTTTTTGTTTGTGTTAACACCACATCAATTTATTACTGCAAAGCTTTCGATCTGTAAGCCCGGATCTTAAGCTTTGATAAGCCCGGATCGAAAGCTTTGCCGTAATAAATTTATGTGGTGTTTCCACAAACAAAAATATTATATACTTTATATATTAGCATTATATACTATGCTCTCCAGCAGGAATCAAATTTGCAAATCCGGTGCAGTGTTCTGATCATTGCACAACAGCCAACAGTGCCAGGTTATCAAGAGCTATTATAAACACAAATATTAGAGCGATGTCAGTGTATGGTAAGATTAAATTATTCTATCATATTTCCTCTATTTAGCCCCCTCCTAGTCCAAAAGTGCTGAAAAAGAATAAACACCCTAAAATCATCTGGCATTAGACAGAATAAAATAATAAAGAAGGACACATCTGGGCACATTGCCACTTAAAGAGTTCACAGGGTGTATAGGGAGATACCGTAACGTCTCGAAAATAAGCGCCCCCTCAAAAGTAAGCGCCCCTCGAAAGTAAGCACCTTTTTCAACACTTGCTAGAGAATCTGGAAAGTAAGCACCCCTTCGAAAGTAAGCGCCCCCTCAAAAGTAAGCGCCCCTTCAGGCCACTAATTTAATATCGAAATTAAGCAGGGCGTTTACTTCGAGACTTTACGGTATTAGTGTTAGATACCGGCGTAGTTACTAAAACATGGAACGACCCACAACGACCGCACTACGACCCACAACGACCCACTACGATCTAACAACGACCCCACAATGATCCACAACGACCCCACAACGATCCCAAAATTACCTTCAGTTGCAATTTTGCATTCGTTGTGGGTCGTAGTGGGTCGCAGTGGATCGTTGTGGGGTTGTAGTGGGTCGTAGTGGGATCGTCGTGGGTCGTTGTGGGTCGCAGTGGGTCGTCGTGGGGTCATAGTGGGTCGTTGTGGGGTCGTAGTGGGTTGTTGTGGGGTCGTAGTGGGTCGTTGTGGATCGTTGTGGGGTCGTAGTGGGTCATTGTGGGGTTGTTGTGGCTCGTTGTGGGTCGTTCCACGTTTTAGTAACTACGTAGATACCGGTCATATCTTAGAAGTAAAAACTCTTAAATTAAAGAAACTCTCTAATCCATATGTATACCATATATACTGTATAGAATGAATATAAAAATGGCCAATGCTGAAAATAACAACTCGAAAGTAGGCACTCTTCGAAAGTAAGCGCCCCCTTACTTTCGAGACTTTACGGTAGTCTGATTAACCCATTGAGTTGCAGCACTCTCCCCCTGATCTAGAGCAGTGCACCGGAGCCAGAGTGCCGGAGCTCCGGCATATTTTGCCGGAGCCGGAAAACTTTGGCAGACAAAATTCATAAAAAATTATTTCATATTTCAACAAACATTTAGCATTAAATGGGAAAATTAAGTTGTTGTTTACTAATATATTACTATTTATAAGTTGTTTTACTATATATTACTATGTGGTTTACTATTAATAGTGTTGTAAAAAGGTTTTTAAAAAAGATAAATTCTGAAATTAATACACTGAAATACTTTCGCCTGCTTCCACTTTTAAATATGGAATTTCCTTAAAAATTTCTTGCCGGAGCCAGAGTTTGCACAGCTCTACCTGGCATTCATCATCTGGCATTAGACAGACAGGTTTTTTTTCAGGATTTTCTCTTGGGTCCATTTTTGCAGAGAAGATTGAGTTTAGCTGAACAGCTGGGGTGGCTGCACCCCTCCCCCTACCGGGGGGCTGACACCTGTAGTTGAGACAGAATGTGTTAAAGCAGGGGCACTATAAAGGGACACTATATATAAACTGGTTAAAGATGGCGAATGCATAGTTTTTCTTGTGTTGTGAGATGAATTCCGGCCATTTTTTTTTAATTGTCGGGTTTCCAACTGAAAACTAATTTCCACAAGTCACAAATTTAACTCAAACAATTTCATTTTTACTGCACTGAAACTTTGGTGAGAAGATTGAGTTTTAAAACTCAATTCAAGATTGAGTTTTTGGGGCCGTTTAACGGCCCTAAAAAGTCCCTGAAAAAAACCCTGACAGAGTAGGATAATATAGACTTATGGCAAAATACAAAGTATTACAGTTGTGGCAATGGAAGTGTTCCTAAAATATTCTATCAATTCATTTGCTCACACAAACCAATTCATTTACTGAGTGAAAATTTGATAACTTCCTGTATAATTGATTATAATCATCGCCCAGTTTGCCGCCATATTAGATAAAATGGTGGAGATGCCTCCTTGAATTCCTCCGATTTTACCAGTGTCAGAAGCCCCTCTAAAGGAGAGCACTATGGTATAAATTGCCTTAATAATGGTATAAATTGCCTTAATGGTATAAATTGCCTTAATTCAATTAGCAGACTGCCCATGCCATGACTCTTGCTAACATACTCAGCAACAATGCCCCATAAAATGCACATTAATATACTGTACTCGGTCAAAAGCCAGACAACATCATTCATCATGTTGATCGTTATGAAAGTGCTTATCCACAAACAACCTAATTGTTGGGGGCTGTTCAAATGAGCCAGGCACAGATTTTGAGGGGAGGTGCACACCTCTCCAGAATCGTTTTGCACCTCCCGAGAATTTTTGCACCTGAAAAGTCATGTACCTCCCCTTGGGAACGTTTCAATGATGACATATTATGGCCGACATGATTTGCCACAAGGTTATGCATTATTAATGAGTGTTTTAAGGATGTTTATCAAAGCCATGATAAGAACCCTACTAAACAAATCCTCCCGAGTTGACCAGGCCAGCCTGGCTCCATATCCCCTTACATACCATATTGTTGCCAATGGATACTGTTTTTTAGAAGCAAAGTTATAGATTGTAGCCAACAGATCCAATCCACCTTCTTGTACAAAAAATGTTTGTTTGCTTTTGTTGGCTTGGATTTCCATGGTGAAAACATATCCTGGTTACATATGTCCAAATTTGCTAACAGATTTTCATAACAATTATCAGCTGCTGATAAACTATCAGCATTCCAGTCAATATTTTCCACTATTCGATCCCCATCGGAAAATGCTTCGCAAACATCTTTTACAAACGCTCTCATATCATCAAAAAATTTCGATAAGAAGTGTACATCGCACACGCTTATAAATTTAACAATAAACGTGTCTCCTTCTCGCACATACAAATTTGATATTTTCTCTCTGTTTTCTAATTCCCGTCGTGTCTTGTGGTAAACAGACATATCACATGCCGCAACACTGAGTAAGGGTTGTAGCTTCTTCTTTAAATCGCCAATACATTCGACGTTGTTTAAATTTATTTTTAAATCTGATGTTTGATATGGCACTGGACATTCACTTTCGATATGAATTTTAACCTCCATGTTTGAAACTGTTCGATATAAAAACCAGGGGCGTAGGAACCGGGGGGGCCAGGGGGGCCATGGCCCCCCCAAGTTTTGGCAAGTGCCCTTTTTACAGGAGCAAAGTGCCCTTTTTGTGCCTGAAAAATTTTCATAAAATTCGCAGTTTTTGTCCAAACGAAACTTTTGAAAACTGTAATGTAGGTTTTTTCAAAAAAATTTTTTGAGATGCCCTTTTTTTTGAAAGTGCCCCTCAAAGCCTGGCCCCCCCAACTTTTCTAAGCTTCCTACGCCCCTGATAAAAACGAAATGAGGAAGTAGGGAACACTGAACTATATATATAACATAAATTTGTTTAATTATTAAACTTTGATTAATAGATACTATCGATAGGAAATATTGTCCTTCGAATTGGTGGAGGGGGCTTTATAGACTGCGAGCGGTCCCTCCTTTCCGCGGGTCTAGAGGCGGCTGAGTGCATTGATCATCATCAATGTAGAGTCAGGTACACACGTAAAAATCTCACAACTTGTCAACAAGATGTGTTCGCAACAGTCTTGTAGCAAGCTTGTCAACAAGTTGTGACAATCATATTATTTCATGAGGTTGCTACAAGGTTGTCACTCACAACTTGTTGACAAATAGTTGAACTGCAGGACGATAGCAAGTTGTTGGAACAACATGTAACAAGTCTGTTGAGTTCAACAACCTTGTAGCAAGTCGTCAACAAGCTGTTGACAACTTGTTAACAAGTTGGGAACAAGCAGTGCGAACACATCCTGTTAACAAGTTGTTGGAACCGCATTGCTACAAGTCTGCTGCGGGTTTGTTGCAACTTGTGCGTTTTTACCATAGTTTTTACGTGGGTAGAAGAGCCACCAGTAAATCTAGTACACACGTAAAAACGCACAAGTTGTTGCAGGTCTGCAAACAAGTTGTTACAAATCTGTTCTCAAGCTGTCAACAAGTTGTGTTCGCACTGCTTGTTCCCAGTTGTTGCAACAAGTTTGGAACAAACTGTTATAATAACAACTTGTAACAAGCTTGGTGGCATTATTAGACTCGTTACAAGGTTGTTCTAACACGTCTGATAGAGTCATAATATAATGCTCTAAACGAAAGATACATTATAACATGTCTTTATCTCAGTCGGCAGACGGAGAGTGCGAGTCTCAATCATCGGTCTCAATGCAATGCTCAACATTGAAACAGGACTCTAGCACAGAATAGATATAGAGACTCTAGAGTCTAAAACATAAATCCTGGGGGACGCATCCAACTTCGTTCCTAAGCTTTCCCCTGGGTCGCATCTCCCACTTTTTGAACAGTCGTGATATAACGTCTGCTGGCCGGCTATACATCCGACTTTTTGACATAGATTATTGCCTTTGACGTTAAATTCCACGTTTAATAGCTTGACAATTTGAAATAATAATGGACGAGGTTGAACAGGATTTCCAGAATTATTCAGACCAAGATCAATGCTGAATAATTCTGAATATCCAACCTTAATATCCAATAATTGTTTTATTATTCATTCTATTCGGATTATTTTCTCAGTTGCATCATTTGCAAAAGGAGTACTACCCATTGTGAATATTAAAAAAAAAAACACACGAAAACAGGGTAAAATGAATAATAAAGCTTTTTTATCCGTAAGCTTTCATCAGTGCAAATAATAAATCTACAAGGTCAAGGAGTAAACATCCATACATCATACCGTGGGTCAAAAACCACCAACCTGAAATTTATGCCATTATTAAAGAACCCAACATACAAGAACCAGTGAACCACTTCAGGCTGACAATTGTTCTTAAAAAACCTTTACAATAATGCATGTTCTAAGGGCAGGTATTGGCAAGTATAGGCTTGAAAAAGGCTTGATTTAATACCATTGCAATAACATATTAATGTTGTTTGGTACTCAACATGCACGCATTTCAGAAAATTCTTGGCGATGGAGGGCAGAACGGAAAACATTCTTTTCGATGAAAAAAAAATTCCAAACATACTATCGTTCCTTCTTTCTCGATTTTCCAATGTACGTACCGATTCTCCTTAGTTTTTCCTTATTCTTTTTTTCAATTTTTAGATAGAATTTTCACTTTTCAGAACTTTTACTCAAATATTTTCTTTTCGTTCCTTCCTATCCAATTCATGTTTTTCTGACGGGTGTCCCCCCCCAACACACACACACACACACACACACACACACAATAGAGACCTTACGATTTAATACGGCAACGCGACGGCAACGGCTACCAATACAATAATTAAATCATTGAAAATAATTGAATAATAACAATATATGAATCATTTAGACATTGTCCTCGCTCTGTTTACAACGCCAAATCACAGATTTTCACGTCTTGATACGACGGCTGCATTTTAATTAAGCCGCAACAAGTGCAACTTCAAACGAGTCAGCAGAACTCTTCCAAACTGTAAAACCCATGTCTTCAACTGCTAAAACTGTATACTAAATTCATACGATTGGTAATATACCACGAATTATCTTTATACAACCATTTATTTGAAGGAGTTTGTTTTGGCCATCGTCGTCGCGTTGCCGTCCTAAAATCGTAAGGTCTCTCAACCCCACTGCCGCCCCTGATAAGAACCACTTCATCCCGACATAAAAAATGGTTGGGTTTTTTTCGGATTTTTACTGCATTTTTCAATAAATAAAGTCCCTATTAAATAGCCTACAAGGGACGGACCATTATTTTTTTGGAGGGGGGGGGGGGG